TGAAAGAAGGTTACATAAATGATGTTATTTGTCCATGTATTTTTATAAAGAAAATGACATCAGAATTTGTTATACTTGCTGTTTATGTTGATGACATAAATCTTGTTGGAACTCCAGAAGAGCTCCAAAAGGCAACTGAATATCTTAAGAAAGAATTTGAGATGAAAGATCTTGGAAAGACAAAACTTTGTCTTGGTCTGCAAATTGAACATTTAGCAGACGGGATCTTTATCCATCAATCTGCCTATACAAAAAGGGTCTTAAAACGCTTTTACACGGATAAAGTGCACCCATTGAGTACATCAATGGTTGTTCGATCACTTTAAGTGAAAAAGATTTGTTCCGACCTCCAGAAGAGGATGAGGAACTCCTTGATCCCGAAATAACTTATCTTAGTAAAATTGGTGCACTTATATATCTTGCTAATGCTACAAGGTCTGACATAGCATTTTCTGTTAATTTACTAGTAAGATATAGCTCTTATCCTACACAGAGACATTGGAAAGGAATTAAGCATATATCGCGATATTTAAAGGGAACACTTGATATGAGTTTATTTTATTCTAACAAAGCAATCTATTGTTGCTACTTCTTCAAATCATGCTGAGATAATAACTATTCATGAAGCATGTAGGGAATGCATATGGTTGAGATTAATGATTCGTTTTATTCAAGGAAAATGTGGTTGGAATGTGATAAAAGATCCACAATTTTATACGAAGACAATGCTGCATGCATAACCCAATTAAAAGGAGAATTTATAAAAGGAGATAGAACAAAGCACATTTCACCAAAATTATTCTGCACACATGATCTTCAGAAAAATGGTGACATTGATGTGCAACAAATCCGTTCAAGTAACAATCCGGCATATTTATTCACTAAAATCTTTGCCAATTTCAACTTTTGAGAAGATAATATACAAGATTGAAATGCAGTGACTCAAATATTTGAAACAAGATTTTTATCAGGGGGAGTAAAATACGTGCTATACTCTTTTTTCTTTATTAAGATTTTTCCCACAGGATTTTCTTTATAAGGTTTTTAATGAGACAACTAGTTATGCGTATTACTAAATATGTGTACTCTTTTTTCTTTACTAGAATTTTTCCACGGGGTTTTTTCCTAGTAAGGCTTTAATGAGGCACATTATCTTTTAATGAATATCCCACGGAGAGTGTTATAAATATATTATATTATGAATGTTCATTTAGTATTCCGTTGTAAATAAGCTTCATGGAGAAACTTACCTATATGAGACTCCGTCGTAAATATGTTTGTCTATTTAGTACTCTATTGGAAATAAGTCTCCTGAAGAAGCTTATCCTTTCGGTACCCCATTATGGATAAACATCACCCCCGATAAAAGATTATCCATATCTGGTACAATGAGCTTATCCTTTCGGTACCCCGTTATGGATAAACATCACCCCCGATAAAAGATTATCCATATCTGGTACAATGAGCTTATCCTTTCGGTACCCCGTTATGGATAAACATCACCCCCGATAGAAGGTTATCAATATCTGGTACACTGAGCTTATCCTGTCGGTACTTTATTACGAATAAATATTATCTCCGATAGAAGATTATCTATATCTAGTACAGTAGCAACTTACACAACATCTTGCTTTCTTCTATAAATAAAGGAGATTTCAGTTCATTATGTACATAAGTTTGAAATTTGAATAATATATCAATTTCTCTCTATACTTGTCTTTACTTTACGGTCTTTATTTTATAACAGTATGAGATATATATAATGTGAAATAAGAATACCCATAATTAGCAACTCGGAGATTAATTATTTAAAGACAAATATGCCCTTTGGCGGGCTAGAGGAATCGAAAAATGGGCAGGCCCAATTACGAACCCTACTCCCCCTGTTGAAATTAAGGGCAAATCTGTTATTTTCAACTGACTAAAAATCCCTTCACGCCCGACTAAAACCTCTTGCAATTCAGCAAGCTTCTTTTAGCCCTTTCAAGTTGGCTGGACGCCGGCGCCGGCGCCGTCACCGTGCCGTAAAAGTAGAGGAATATCTAGCTAGTGATAACAGTAAGTTCAGCTTTGGTGTGCCTAAAAATAAGAATGGCAAAGCGTGAACTATCCAGCACCTTGAGGAACTTGAAGGTAAAAAAGGAGCTTTCAATTTGGTCCCTTTTTAAATCTGTTTGCTAATTAAATAAACATATTAACTTTTTAACTGGTTTTTGAGGGGTTTTTTCTGTTCTTGCATAGTTTTTTTAACTTGTTATTTAGCCCTTCGTAAATTATTGGCGTTATTTAAAGGTATTTCATTTTGGTGCTTTGATCTTGTTTGTAAAATTAAATAAGTAGGAAATTTTTAGCTGGGTTATTCGTTCTTGCATAATTTTCTAAAATTGTTTTATAACCCTTTGTAAATTATATCGGCTTTATTTGAAGGATTTTGCTAAATCCTTAGATTTATAGCTAGCTTAAAAAGACTCCAACTTTGATAAATTCTCTGAATAGAGGGAATGGATGAATTCTTTGGTCTAGTGGTAAGAGTGAAGGGACAATGTTACAAGTTCGAACCGTGCTGCAGACTAAAGCTCGGTATTTAGATAGAGAAGGGTATATGGGCGGGCCCATTGGTCTGCCAAGTTTTGAACCGTACGCCACTGGCCCTCGGAGATTTCTCGTTTATCAAAAACAATGTAGAGTGGAATGGATATAGAGCGGTCGTGTAGTTGACACCAAGTATATTAGATTGAGGTGTAGTTGTAGTATTTTAAGATTTTTTGATGTTTTTGTATTTTCAGTTTATGCAAAGGGCAGCTCTGAGAGAGGAAAAGCCTAAGAAAGAAGAAGTAGAAGAAGTAGAAGGAGCAGAAGAAGAAGTAGAAGAAGAAGAAGTGATACCTGGTGGAAATTTTCCCTCTAGTGCTCCCAAAAGATGGTAACCTTTTTCTTCAGTTATACTTGTTTGTTATTTTGGTTGATAAGTCTTAGCATGGGATGTTAAAGAGTGTTGAGATTTGAGTTGTAATTTTAGTTGGATTAGTATTAAAATTTGTATACTTTGAAGCTCCAAGAGCTTTGGTCTAGTGGTAATAGTACAACAAGTGATCTGCGGCTTAGTAGGCGCACGTCAGAGGTCCGAATCTTGTCGCAGTCAAAAGCCTGGTATTTATGTGTCGAAGGGTAGATGACAGACCCATTATCCACCGAGTTCTGAACCATGTGTCACTGACCCTCGAGGATTACTCCGTTATAAAAAAAGATTATACATTGAAACTATGGAAATATAACCAGATTTTTATACTCCTAAAAGACACTATCTGCTGTTGGAAATCTTTTTATCAGGAATCGTTCTGTGTTGAAAACCGTTGCCTTTAAAGATATGGGGAATTTGATATGAAACAAAGAACATAGAGAGAAGAAAGAGGACGGAATAAGAAAAAGAACCTACCCAGCTGATATTATTATTGTCATTTCAAGAAGCTCCTTTAAATGGGAGCCCTTGCCTCTTTATGTGTCTCCCTCAGAATTCTTGGCATCTTCATCTTGCTCATATCTCGATACGATAACATACTTATTTCCTAATTATTCTGAGTCTGTGCAAATGCTTCAACTATTGAAATCAAGAGCTACAATTGGTTAAATGTTATGAAAGGGATTAACTAGTGAAACGGCATATTTGACACATTGGAATGGAAGGGGTGAGTTATTACAAATAATCTTGTGGTGCGACGTAAGAGTATACACCAATTTTTTGTTTTGAGATCAACGTTAACTCAGGACTATTACAATGTTGGACTTTGTCTAATTTGGATTTAGTTTAAAGCTGGACCAAGGTTCATACGACTGAAACTAGATTTTTCCTTCTGGCGAGTATCAAGTTTGCTGTGCAGATTTAGGCTGTTCGTGAGCACTACCCGTTAAAGGGCACACAAAAGGAGTAACTGAGTGTAACTTTAAATGGTTAATTATAATATGAAGTATTCTTTTTCTTTCTCCAAAATATGAAGTAGTTCTTTCTTTGCAGTGCTCAAATAGCACTAGCACTAGAATGGAAGATGTATAATGTTTAGACTGCTCAACTATCAACTATGATCTTTGACATGTTGACAAAAGCTTGACTTTGTATAACTTTTTCTCGTAGATGGTTTTAGGCATTTAGATCAAAGAAAATTAGTGGGTTGCCCAGTTGGTTTGGAGGGAATCCCCCTCAATGCCTTCTGGGTTGAGCCTCTCACACATGACTTGCATAGTGCGGATTACCTCCCCTGTGTGGTTTGTAGGCTATTACACAGGGGGAGGTTTACCCAGTGCGCACCAAGTGTAGCGGCTGCGGGTTTCCCTCTTAACAAAAAAAAA